TACCCATGTCATAATTAAGCAGGCACCAAATCAGGGTATTACATTGTTAAAAGGTAAACATACAGTCAGCTATGTAGACCTGCATGTTGACACAGGAAGATGAATACCTAGCGATAAGTGACACCATGATTGAGGACCTAGTAAACGTAGGGAGATGGGGGTGTTACGGGATTTTGTGTCATTAGCAAACCTCTCCAGTTGGAAACCTGGTGACTCCTGGCAAATGTAATAGCAATAGCAATCCCAGAAGGTGTTTGGGTTGCTAGGAACATTTTTATATCATTATTGGGACTAAAATAGTCACCATTTTGTCAAAAATTACAAGTCACTAAAAAATGTTATATACACATGCATGTATACTATTATGCTTGTTCTCTATCCCAAAATTAGAAACACTGTGTTCTAAAAATGACCATGGAGGCACAAATAGAATAAACATAGGGACACTAGTATAGCCTTGCCCTAGTTGATGTATATGTCGGAACCACAATCGAACTGCGGAAACCACAAAGTGATACGTTATGTACTTAAGTTAATTATTATTGAGTTAGTTGATTGGGTACTCAGTAACAAGTTACGTAAGCCCAAACTTCCGGCCACACTGTATGTATACTTTCAACACACGCTTTATTCGGCAGTAGCTGTATAGTATTCGTGTAGTCTATATATCGTATAATAAAGTCTCTTTCCTTGACTTAATCGATCGTCTCCTTTATCCTGTAATTTCGATTCCCACATTTGTTGGTGCCGAGACCAGGATTAAAGGAAAGGATCATGTCTGCCAGAGGAACTCGCCCAGCCTACCGAGGAAAGATGACCCAGCTACTCAAGAAAGCCGAAGATACGATTGTGAAATTCAACAGTGAAGACGACGTGGATTGGGACAATCTCTTGATCACAAAAGAACGCATCGAAGATAAGTTTAAGTTGTTAGAGAAACTCGACGCTGAAATTATTCAGTCAACTAACGAAGACCAGTTAAACGACGTTATTCTAGAAGCCGACAATTACATGGATGAAGTTTTCGCCAGAAAGTTCAAAATCTGTAAATTCATCAATCAACACGCTGCGACAAGGGAGACAACGGGATCGACGGTAAGAACAAACACCTCTTCTACTAGACAGTCTACAACTTCCACTAGTAATACCGTCCACTTACCGAAGCTACAGCTTCCGACATTCAGTGGCGACTCCCTAAAATGGAAAGCATTTTATGATGTTTTTATTTCTGCTGTGGATAACGATCCAAGCTTCAGCGAAGTTCAGAAATTTCAATACCTCCGAGGTCAACTTTCCGGAGAAGCAGCGAGAACTATTGATGGTCTACCATTGACGAATACGAACTATCGACATGCTATTCAACTGCTGGAAAAACGATATGGCCAAACACATAAAATCGTCAATGCTTATATGAAATCTTTGTGGGATTTGCCCAAGCCAACTAGCGATATGAACAGTTTACGAAATTTCTATGACACTATAGAAACTAATGTACGCGGACTCGAGGCTCTCGGTAAAAAGGAAACGTCGTATGGTGATCTGTTAGTTCCGATCGTATTCGAGAAGTTACCAAGAGGCATACGGAAACAGATAACACGTGATCACGGCGACTGTGAGTGGAAATTATCGGAACTACGTGAATCACTTTACAAAGAAATACAGGCACTCGAAGTAAGTTCATTGATCAACGATAGTGCAGGTGAATACGAACAAGAAACACAACAAATGACTGCGGCTTTCTATACTGGTACGAAGACATCGGCAACACGTACATCGACACGCAATTTTCGACCCCGTAACGCACCAAAACCGAGAAAAACCTGCGCTTACTGTAAAGGACAGCATTTTCATAGTAATTGTGTCATCGTAACGGATAGAAATAAACGACATGATATCGTGAAGCGTGACAGGCTGTGCTTTAATTGTCTGGGAAGACACCAAGTTTCGGAGTGCAGATCGACCAATAAATGCCTTCGCTGTGGGAGAAAACATCACACATCACTCTGTACATTAGAACCACAAATGCGCGCCTCCTCAGACCAATCTAGTCGTGACACAACGTCAACATCACTCAACAAATCGACTCCGGCATGTGTTAACTTCGCTGCAGCTGCTCAAAGAAAAAACAACTACGATAATCAACCAGTTTTATTAAAAACTGTCGTAACAGAGATTTCTACTGACACTCAATCATTGACCGCTGTTCTGTTGTTTGATGAAGGAGCAACAAGAACATTCATCACTGAAGATTTGGCACAAAAACTGAATGTTAAACCATCTGGATCAGAGTTAATACAGTTGGCGACATTAAACGGATCCCGTAGTGTGTCGGCACTGATTGTTCCAACAATATCAACACCAATGAAGAATCTGATATCGAAATCTGTTTTAAATCTCCCGCATTTACGAGGCCTACGCCTGGCGCACCCTGCATCATCATCGGATTCCTTTGAAGTTTCCCTACTGATCGGCGCCGACTACTATTGGAACTTTGTGGGAGACGACATAATCCGAGGACCGGGACCAACAGCTGTAATGTCGGAATTTGGATATCTTCTATCCGGACCAACTGGAACCAGAATGAGAATCCCGACTAACACAACTATGTTACATATAGCTGCTAGTAACCAGAATGAGCAAATTAAACTCCAAGATTTCTGGAACTTGGAATCTATCGGAATAAGGGACGAAATACACGAACCGAAAGCGGATTTCTTCAAAGAATATTGTGACTCTAATTTACAGTTTGAAGAAGGGAAATACACCGCGAAGTTCCCATGGAAACCAGAACATCCGCCCCTACCAACGAACTATCAGTTAAGCGAGAAACGAACACGAAATTTGGTGCACCGCTTACCATCTGATATTTTGGAGTACTACAATAAGACCATTCACGATCAAATATCTCGGGACTTCGTAGAAGAAGTTCTTAATGACGACAACGAACGGGGACATTACTTACCACATCATGCCGTTAAGAAGGATTCACCGACCACACCCATCCGTGTAGTTTATGATTGTAGCAGTAAACAATCACCCATAATACCCAGCCTCAACGACTGCTTGGAAGTTGGGCCACAGTTATTGAATGACTTGACAGGAATTCTACTTAGATTTCGAGTACATCGTTACGCGTTTAGCAGCGACATCGAAAAAGCTTTTCTGAATGTACGTCTCCACGAAAGTGATCGCGACTACACAAAATTCCTGTGGCTAACTGACCCAACTAATCCTGATAGCGCATTTAAGACTTATCGATTCAAGTCAGTACCGTTCGGAGCAGCCTCTTCGCCTTTCATATTGAACGCCGTCTTGAAAACACACACAGAGAAAAACGCAACAAATGCAATTACATCGGATCTGAAACACAATATCTATGTAGACAATATCATAAGTGGAACATCTGAAATCAAGGACGTGATAGAATACTATGAATTCTCGAAGGATCTTTTAAAATCTGGCGGGTTTAATCTTCGGTCATGGGCTTCTAACTGCGAACAATTACGTGATCTCGCTAAAGCCGACAATGTAGCTGATCTAAACACTGAGGTACACATACTCGGATTACGTTGGAAAACATTGTCGGATGAGCTTACCTACGCAAATAATATTTCAAATGACGAAACCATATTGCCAACTAAACGTGAAGTAAGTAGTGCAACGTCTAGCGTATACGATCCTTTCGGTTATTTAGCACCAGTGGTTATTAAAGCGAAGATATTTACACAAGAATTATGGAAACGAAAGCTCGACTGGGATGAACCTTTACCTTCCGATTTGACAAATGAATGGAACGCCATATGCTCACTGGTAAATCAACAAATACCGTCAAAATCGGTGACATTGTTCTCGACCATCATGACAACCAGAAGCGACTGCATTGGAATATGGCAAAAGTTGAGAGATTAAACTACGGAAGAGATGGACTAGTCCGATC